AGCTCTGGACTCTCCCGAGAACTACCACTCTATGTCACTTCCCTGAGACACGGAGGGAGAACAGAAGGCCCTCCACACAGTCTTTCTTCTGAGGAAAACTATCTTCCTCCACAGCAAATGCCACCCGTGAGCAACCCTGAGCTGTTCCTCCGGGGCTTTCTATGTGTGACACCGAGTGCCGGGAAACCAAGGCCCTTCATGATGTTTCTCAAGTGTTGACCTCCTTTCTTCCATCACACAGAATTAAGTTACACTGTGCTGAATGAATGTTGAACTGGGGCCCAAGAGAAAGAAGGTTGGCTAGGTGGCAAGCATGGCGGCACTCCTGCCCCTCACAGAAAGCTTAGAGTCCAGCACATCCCATTGAGGTTTTACAGTGGATCCCCAGTAGAACCGAGGGAGGAAGCCCATTTCACAGACGAGGACACTGAGAGCTCAGAGAGGATGAAGAAGAGCTGAGACAGGGTGAATCTTCTACCCAGAAGTTCCATTTGCTTAAGGACAACCACCCACAGAACCCAGACTAGGAAGAGCTCAGCTGTATGCAGCCCCAAGGGGAGACCTCATCTTCTTCCCAGGTTCCTGACGTATCCCAACCCTGCCCAGCCCTCAGTTCCAAGATAAATGGCAGGTCTAGTATCAGTAAGTAGACTTGCGTTTCCTTTTACGCTAAACAGGACGCAGGGCTGCCAGAGACTTGACCGGTGCTCATTCTGCCTGGGCAGGAGACAGTGCTTTTTCTTTCTTCATGAGGAAACGGTCTGGTAAGTGATTTAATTTCTACTTGAGGTAAGAAAATAGGGCAGTAAAGAGGCCTTGCTCTCTAAGCAGGAGTTAGATCAGCCTCAGAGGTCTAAATAGGAGAGAGGCTTCAACGAGAAAGAATCACAAATTTGAGGCCAGCCTGAGTAACTTAGTAATATAAATATTCCTATATATAAATATATAGTTCATGTGTATACATATATATATATATAATTAAACTGTTGGGGATGGATATTGATCAGCAACAGAGCGCTTAACTAATATGTATAAGGCCCTAGGTTTAATTCTCAGTAGTGGTTTTAAAAGAATTCAATCAAAAAGGAGAGGGTGAGATAGAGCGACAATTCCCTGATAGAACAATTGCCTAGCATGTGTGAAGACAATTTTGAGTCCAAGTCACATATGGCTCTCTTGGCCTGCTGAGTTCCTGTGTGTATGGGAGGGGCTGAGAGCAGCGGCTTGCAGGGGGCAGTGGTTACCAGGGAGCAGCAGCTTGCAGGGGCAGTGGCCAGCTGGGAGCAGCGGCTTGCAGGGGGCAGTGGCTAGCGCAGGGGCGCTCTTCCAGCAGTGGTTGCCAAGGCTTGTGAGGGGCCGCTGAATCCCAGGCAGCCTGCTGGGCCCCTACTGGACCTCATTTAATTCTTATGGCAAGAGGAAGAGGATGGCCCTATGGGCCATTTCAGAGATGGGAAACAGGGTTAGAGGTCCTGCACCTACTGAGTATCAGCGCTGGGATTTGGAATCTGCTCTGGCTCCAGAAGTCCACACGCTGAGCTGTGACAGCAAGATTCGCACTCCCAATGAAGTCTAGAAACCACCTGTGTGGGCATCTCCCAGGACTGATCAAAACACTCTGTCTGGGGGCCTGCTCAAACTCACTAGACCAGGAGCTCAGAAAATGGGGCCAAGAGCTGCCTCTGGCAATCTTTCCAGTTGGTTCTTCTGCCGATAAATCTGAAGTCTCCTGCCTGGGTGTCAGTGTCTACTGTGTGGGGACAAGTGACAGGAGGAACATGAGACCAGAAGGAGCCAAGCAGCTGGGGTCCTGAGAGGCAGGCTGAGAGATGGATGACTACCGCATCCTGTGGCAAGCCCCGCCAGCCCCTGGCACAGTCCTCACTCTTGGCCTGTGTTAGCTGGGGCTAGTCAGTCAGCTTCCTAGCCTAGCCTGGGCTATCTAGGTCACTATAGTCTTTATATGAGGTCTGGGACAGTGTTCCTACTGCCGGGACTTGCCGCAATTCATCCTAAGGGCAACTGGAAGTTTATCATCTCTGCTAGCTTGGCCAGCAAGCTCAGGACCGATTTCCCCAGTTTCTCTACCCTGTTCACCTCCCCCGGGCCAATGCTGGGGTTACAGGCACACACAGCCATGCTTAACTTCTCACATGAGTGCCAGGAATTCCAACTAGGCCCTTGTGTTTACACCCCAAGTGCTCTTACCCACTGAGCCGCTTCCCCAGCCTGCCTTGCGCTATTTTAACCTGACTCCGTCTGATCTAGATGGAGGAAACAGGATTTGCCTGCACGGATCCATTAGCAGACAGGTCCTAGCTGGAAGAGGAAGGAGGTAGAGTCCTCTCTTTCCTGGAATGTTGAAGAGTGTCCTGCAGGAACCTGGGAAGGGGTTGGGACCACCAGGAAGAGAACATGCAGACATCTGCAGAGTGATAACCACACATCACCGCATCACTCCTGGCACAACTGCATGGCCACCTCTTTCCTGAGATGACTATCAGTACCTCATATCTGTCTGTCTGTCTGCCTGTCTGTCTACTTTCCCTTTTATTTTCTTCCTCTTCCTCTTCTTTTTCTCTGTAGTCCAGGCTAGCTTTGAATGTGTCACTTTCTTCTCTAACCTCCCAGGGGCTGCCGTTATAGTTCTGTGGCTCGTTTATCCTCCACACCCTATTTCAATGGCTTCTGCAGTCATGAAGGACAGCAGCCCTAGACCCTTCTGGGAAGCCTAGATTTCCCTCCATCACCACTGAGGCCTCCTCCCCCTCATATCACCTCCTCCTCATGTCCTCCAGGATGAGGAGAGTGCAGACAAGCTCTCTGTTAGAGGACGGCAGATCCCGACAGCAAGTTCTGTTCTTTCTCCATCTGGCTTCCTTGGTGAACTTTCTGCTGAACTTCTTCCAGCCTTGTGGGCAGCTCTCCTGCCAGGAGGAGCCAGTGCCAGGAAGAACAGAATAATTGCCTCTCGTGTTGTGCATGCAGAGCCTTCATTAACACATCCCGGGAGTGGCATTTGCAGCCCTCTGTCACAGCATCCCGCCACTGACTAGCGCACAATTCATCTCCCTCACGACTCCACTGTCTCCAAAGAGCCAATTGGTTTTCTGCTTCTGTGGGTTGTGCTGCCTCAGTAGGAGAGGCTGCTATTTACAGAGAAGACTATGGGCTTGCTCACTCAGTGGCATGTGTTACACAGAAGACTATGGGCTTGCTCACTCAGTGGCATGTGTTACACAGAAGACTATGGGCTTGCTCACTCAGTGGCACGTGTTACAGAGAAGACTATTGGCTTGTTCACTCAGTGACACGTGTTACAGAGAAGACTGTTGGCTTGTTCACCCAGTGGCACGTGTTACAGAGAAGACTGTTGGCTTGTTCACCCAGTGGCACGTGTTACACAGAAGACTATTGGCTTGTTCACCCAGTGGCACATGTTAGGAATCAGGCCCCCACACACTCCACTTTTCATCCTACACTCTGCACAAAGAAGCAATGTGTTTAATCTGTGATGTTTGTGGATGCTAGGAACCATATCCTGAAATCAGAAGGCCTAGATTTTAGCAGTTGGTAGATCTCTCAAAGGTCTATCTATGCATTTGACCATGAGCAACATAGTGTGTTCCTGAGTGTCATTTTCTTCACCTACAAAATAAGAGGGCTGGCATTGACACCAGGCGGTAACAGAAGCCAACTGTGGTCTAGGAAGTCCTAGGCAAGGCAAAAGGAGGTCACAGAGTTGAACCCGACCGCCTGGCTGTGGGAACCTCTGATTTGCTCTATGAGTTGTAGTGATGACATTACATCATGGATGACAGCCTTGTCACCCAAGGCCACAAGATATCAAGCAATCTCAGGCCTGTGGTTTGGTGGCATCCGGAAGCCTATTCTGTAGGCACATCCTGATATCTTGCACTCAGCGTCTCATAGGGGGTGTCCAGTGGGTGAGCTGCAGACATCTATGAGAGGGGCAGTGTCTTTATCCCTACATTGACAACGAACATTGGCTGGTTAGAAGGGCAGGGCTGGGCTATGCCAGTAGAGGAAAAGCATGTCCCTCTTAGACCTAGTCCTTCCTTCTCAGTCAGATTCAGTCCTGCTTGCTAAGGTTCTGAAGTTATTTTCGAAACTCCTGAGGGGTTCATTTCTGTCTCCCAGTGTGGCCAAGCCTCTAGTTCACCGTCAGCTCCATCTCAAGGCCAGTTCTGCCAACAAATCCATCCTCTTATACAATGTCCTTTGGTGTGGGATGCCCCTCTGTAGGCTGCGAATATGTTTTATTACCATTGAGCTTCTTTATTAGCCAATGGTAATAAAACATATTCGCAGCCTACAGAGGGGAATCCCATTTCATCCCTTTCTTTCCCAAGTCTCAACTTCTCCATCTACAAAATGGGAACATCGTTCAACCTCGAAGCACATTAAACAGCAAAGAAAAACTATCTTGACCATGAGCTCAGCTCTCTCCTCTTTTGGTGGGGTGAAAATGGAAGAAGATAGGAGGGCAGTTGGAAAATATGTGGGAGAGGAAAGTGGGTTGGAATGGGGATGCTGGGAGGGGCAGGCTTAGAAGTAACTCGGTCCCTGCCGTTTGTTGCTCCACCTGGAGCCGTGGTGGAGAGGAATCTCTCCACAGTCTGCTGGCAGCCTTGCTCAAACACATTCGGCCATTTGTGCTGATAAAACCTGCTGTTCTAGCTGCTGTGTGGGCTCAGAATCAGCTTCATCCGTTTCCATGAGGAAATGGAACACAAGCGGTTAGAAGGCCCATGGCAGCCTGGCACAGAGGATATGCCACCGTGTGGCCTCTGGTCAGTTGCTCCATGTTTGTACAACCTCTGCTTTCTCATTTGTTGACCTGGGTTTTCAACGTCCTGTTGGTTCCCTGGATTAAATCAGATAGGATAGACTGGGCTGGCTCAGAGCCTGACCTGTGGGATGTGCTGTGTCAAGGTTACCAGCTACTCATCGCTACAGACTGTATCCTCAGCCTGATGGTCTGTCTTGAAGACGTCCACTGGGAGAGTGTATTTAGGTGCCCATGGACCCACCCTGGTCCCATAGCCCAAGGGGCGGTCAGCTGGACCAGCCTCACCATGAAGAAGAGCAGTTCCGGTGTCAGCGGGCTGCAACAGTCTTTCTTAGCAGAAACTTCAAAGTGGAGAGAGTTCTGGAAGGCAGTGGGAGCCTTCTTCAAGTTCAGCTCTGTGGCCTATTAGACAGCCTTGCCTGGGATTGCTACAGAGCACAAGAAGAAGCAGGGACTATGCTCACACCACCTTGAGGTGATGGACGATGGGAGAGGGAGGCTTGTGAGTGGAGGAGATTGAAGACGTCATCCACCTTAGGTCTTGCACAAGGCTGCTGAAGACAGTTCTGGTCCTTCCTCTAGGTCATCCTAGGAACAGGCCTCCAAAAGCAACGGCCCCTCCATGTTCCTTCTCCTTCTAATTCTTACTTTCTTGAGGAAGTTCATGAGCTTGGCGTGAGACTCAGTTCACTCTGCAGATTGGTACACTGAGGACTCCTGGTGACTCCCTGTGGGGGCAACAGGTGCACAGGTGTTAGAGCCTTCAGCTAGGGACTTTCAGAGAAGATGGCTCAGAGGCTAAAAGCTCTTCCAGAGGTCCTGAGTTCAGTTCCTTATGTGGGATGTCCTTTTGTATATGTGTTGCTTTTATTGGTTGATGAATAAAACTGGTTGGACCAATGGCTTAGGAGAGTAAAGCCAGGCAGAAAATCCGAACAGAGATAAGGAGAAAGAGTAGACGGAGTCAAAGAGACGCCATGTAGCTGCCAAAGGAGAAAGACAACAGCCAGAACCTTACCCAGTAAGTCACAGCCTCATGGCGATACACAGATTAATAGAAATGGGTTAATTCAAGGTGTAAGAGCTAGCTAGAAATATGCTTGACCATTGGCCAAGCAGTGTTGTAATTAACACAATTTCTGTGTTATTGTTTGGGTCTGGGTGGCTGGAAAACAAAAGACCAGTCTCCTTCAACAAATTCCCAGCAACCATACGGTGGCTCACAAATATTGGCAACAAGATCAAAGCAATTGGGAAACTGACCTCATACTAAGTATACAGGTTTCATGCTGAAAAGAGCCTTGAGCTCACAGTGCAGGGGGAGAGAGCAGCTATGTAAACGAACAACCAAGCCCACAAAAACGCAGAACAGCATAACTGCACAGAACCAGCTTCGCGTTCTGATACCTCGTTTACTCTGTATGAACACAAGTGAGTCACTAGGGCTATCTGTGCCTCAGTTTCCTCCTGTAAACACGTAGATCATAGTTAGTAGTGTGCCTCAGCTGTGGCCTTTTCACAGTTTCAGTTATCTGAGATTCACTCTGATCCAGAAATGTCAAAAGCAAATTTCCAGAAATAAACAACTTCTAAGATTCAAATAATTCATTGTGATGTTATAATTGTTCTATTTTACTATCGGTTGCATTGTTGATCTCTTAGCCTTAGCGTTTCTAACTTGAACTGTCCTGTACACAGGGAGCACAGGGTGCCGAATAGAACCTAGCACTGCTTGTAGTTTCCACTATGCTGCAGGGGCACTGAAAATCGTCTCCTGTAGATGAAGGGAACTGGAAATGAGATGCACAGAATGAACGTGCACAGCTCCCCAGGTTACCCTGAGGGGGCGGGGGCGGGGGCTCAGTCCACCGCTCAGTTCTGGAAGGGAACCGAGGGTAAACTTTGCGGCCCTAGGAGGTGGTGCCAAAGGTGAGGATGGGTCCTCATGGAGGACCTTCTGGTGCCAGGCACTAGAGTAAGAAGACTTCACTTGGATGTCAAACTGTCTCTAATGTGGACCTTAAAGTCACCCCTAACCAGGAACAGAGTCCAAAGAGTGTCTATGCATGGCATGCCCCAAGCTCAGACAGTCTGGATATGAAGGCTCTAGAATTCTGATTTCAGATTCTCCATCACATTGCCTGATTATCTTCAGACATCTCACAGAACAAACCCGGGGAGGCGGGGCAGAGCTCTAGGCCATTGAATCAGATGATACAGCCCACGCCGGCTCACAGAACTAGAAATGCTGTCACATTGGCTTTGATTAACTCAGCCAGGAGCAGCAAATGAGCATCATTCCTGGGTGGTTTGTTCATCAACCATCACAACCCAGCTGTGGAGCCTGTGAGCAGGAAGGAAGTGGGTGGAGTCAGAGATTAAGTCTTCTATTTCTGTTGTGTCTTGAGAAGTTACAGAGCTGGGAGCCCGGGGCTCTTGTGGACACTGGGCTTATCCAGTGTGGGAGACTTAGTCTCAGAGTGGGACAGAGCACAGACCGTTGGCCAATCTGTCCTGTGGTGGGAGAAGGTGTCAGCAGATGGCATTTCTACCCTAGAGCAGAATCAGTGGTCTACACCTTCTTGTTCCCCCAGGAAGAAGGCAATTCACGGTATCTCCTGCCGCCGTTCCAGCTTTCCCATAGAAACATGCATGGTGTTACCTCTTCAAGACTGAAGACCCAGGAGATGCTAAGGAGAATGACTTGCGTCACATAGAGAGGGGGGTGTGAACTTAGGTCAAATGGGTCCTCAGAGTCTCCATAGGCACTCAGGAAAGTCTGGACGTGGAAGCCCAGATATTGCTTTTGTTTCTTTTCTTTTTTTTGGTCTTGGGGTTGGGTTGAAGACTGAAGGTGGGGTCTGGTATTTAACACAAATGACTTGTCTCGCACGTCATCCAAACACCAAGTTCCGTTTGTGGGGGAAGTGAGAGGTGACTGATTCGTTCATGCAGAACGCAGCTGGGCTGCCGGAAAAGAGAAACCGAGGTTGCTGCGAAGGTGTGGGCTCCGGCTGACCTGGCTTGAGTCAGAGCAGGCGCCACTCCCATGCCAGTACCCAGTGCCGGCCCATTGTCCCACGAATCTTGGCTGCTCGCTCAGGTCATTTCCTCCACAGTCTCTGAAATACACAGGAAAGGAGAAAAGAAGAAGAAAGAAAGGAGGGCTTGAGGAAGGAAGGAAGAGAAGCAGGACAGGACAAGTTCCACAGGCTCTGCAGGCAACCTCTGCTACCTGGTCTGAGCTGCATCCCAGACCCAGGAGTAGATGTAGGTGTCATCAAGTCCAAAGACCAAAGACTTGCAGCTTGAGCCATGCTTTAGTTCATATATATACATATATATATATATGTATGTATATATATATATGGAAATAAAGTTTATATATGGAAATAGAATTAAGTTTAAACGAGTATTTATTAAGGACCGAGAGGGAGGGGAACAAATCACGGCCACCTCAGAGTCACGTCTTTTCACTCGCGTGTCTCTGAAGGTAGTTTGCCGCAAACCAAAGAGTTGTGCTTCCTGTCTGTAGCTGACCTTCCTTCCGCAGGACACCCCTGCCCCTTCGTGCTCTCTGAGGCCCATCACTTTTATCTCTTCAGTAAATGAACCTGCTACATCACAGTCAGAGACCTGAACTTTGCGGGCTTGTGGATGCCACCACTCTGGCAGGTGCTCCCAGCTTTCCATGGGAGCTGAGTGTCCCTCTTCACGGGACATTTAGAGGGTTTCCTAAACCATATCTGTGGGTCCAAGGTAGATAATCTTAACCTAGTACATTCCTTTCATGCCACACACAAGGCAACACATGTGTGTGTGTGTGTGTGTGTGTGTGTGAGAGAGAGAGAGAGAGAGAGAGAGAGAGAGAGAGAGAGAGAGAGAGAGACTTGCTCAAGGTGACCCAGTATGCTTGGATACAATAATCAGGATGGGATGGTATTGAACCCTGGCTCCATCCCCTCCACTCTGCCTTTAACACTAAGCAGAGTGAAGTCTCTGAGGAAGGATTACTCAAACAGACTCTCCTCCCTCAAAAGGCCTTTCTCGTGTCTTCTGTTCTCATCTCCAGGCGTGTATCTTCGCTTGGTGTAAGGCGGCGGGCAGAAATGATGGCCCAGAAACACATGCAGACAGGAAACAGGAATGTCCCTGTGTCTACGAACACGTTAAGAAACGAGAGTGCGTGGGGGAGGGGGGACATGATAAATAACTCTACAGATAAAGAACGTAGCCCTGGGGAAGTCCCAGGAGAGTTGTATCTGAGTGAGTCTCCTCCCCCGCGTGGGTGGGGTGCCCTGCAGGTGTGCCGAGGAACTCTTACCCCCTCCAGGCCACGCCTCCCCCAGATCGTCCTCTTCCTCCAAGCCACCAGCTAATGCCTGGTACCTCACCCTTGGCACCTGGACCTCTCTGTTACAGCAAAGGGACTTTCGGTTTTGTATATACTGGTTTCTGGTTTCGGGTCCGTGAGCCACACTGCACGTGAAGATCTGCGTGAGCAGGGCCTGGCTCCTTTGACCGGGCAGGCGGTGCTCTCCACGGGCACTCACTAATGACGTCATGGAGTAGCCCTCTAGTTTCCCTTCTGTTTCTGGGATAAAGCGCTTTGGCCAAAAGCAACTTAATGGAGGGAAGGATTCACCTGGCTTACACTCCCAGGTCCATGGTGGAGGGAAGGCAGGGCAGGCACTCAAGCAGAAGCTTGAAGCAGAAATCGTGGCCGAAGGCTGCTTGCTGACTCGTTCTTAACTTATTCAACCCAAGTCCTACCTGCATAGGGAACTGTGCTGCCCACGGTGGGCTGGGTCCTTCCCTCTTTATCGGAGTCCCTCCCTCTTTATCAGTTAACAATGAAGACAAACCCTCACAGACGTGACGACCAGCCAATATGATGGGGGCGATCTCTCAGCTGAGACGCCCTTCTTGGGTCACTCTAGACTGGGACAGGGTAACAGTTAAAGCTAACAAAGACATGTGGTTGGAACCTTGGCTCCTGGAATGAATGCCTCCGCACCTCATTTTGAAAACTTAGGCCTGAATGCAGCTTGCTTCAATGCCCAGAGCAGAGGAATGGTGAGCGGTGCCCAGTTCTTCGAAGCAGAGGCTCCACCCAGCAAGAACACACTCCAAACTGGACACTCTGGAGTTCTAGAACTTTTTTTTTTAACAGCCATTCAAACTGTGAGGGCACCCTAGAACTTTTAAACAGCCATTCGAACTGTGAGGGCACCTTGCTCCGCTCCCATCTCCAGCTAGCCTGCCCGCTAGCTACTGGGCTAGGGGCTGTCAGCCAAGGTTATAAGCCCTGGTTTCCCTTAGGGCTGCAGGCACTAAGGCATGATTAAGGAACTCAGAAACAGGTCCTTCTGCCTTCTGGGCTTGCCTCCAAATAGTGGAGCCTTTGCGGAGAGCAGCCAGTTATTCACACGTGATCTTTCTCCCCCATTCAGTTTGGGGTGGAATATATATATTTTAACCTGACACCCGCAACTCCATGACAACTGCTTTGTATAAACTATCTCTCACGAGCAAGGGAACACTGACCAAATAGTCTTTATCCTTCCTCTATTTTTCTCCATATTTGGGTGGGAGTAGGGAGGGAGGTGAGAGATTTCTACCATAAAGAAAGCACTGAGGTACAGCATGTTTTCTCCTCCGGGCGCCTGCCTGGGGAGGGGGCGTGTGGGTGGAGAGCGATGACACCAACTGCTGGGGCCAGCCTCCTCTGAGCTGCCAGCTTCTCTCCTCTCCCTTGTCCCCAGCAGTAGGGGGTGGAACCTGATCACGGATATCTGGGAACAGCAAGCGCAGGGAGCAAGTGAGTTTAGCTCAGTAGGTAGGTGTCTGCTCCTAGGCACTACCTGAGACCTCTTCAGCGTTCTCCAGCAGTTGCTTCCTCCCGCCCACCTCAAGTGAAAGAAGCAGCACGGATTTCTTTTGTTTGTTTTGCTTTGTTTTTGCCTCTTTGCAGACCCCAAGTCTTCAATTTTCTTGCACCAATCACCTTTTGCAGGGGGTTGAGAAATTAGCTGTGATTGGGTATTCAGGCAGTTGAAGAGAGCTGATTGGTGCTGAAGGAAGTGGGGAGCGCCCCGCCCATGTCTTATCCTCTCCAGTTACTCACAGAGGCTTATTAACAGAGTCCTACAGCCTGGGTAGACGTGAGCCACCCTCAAGGCCTGGCTGACTAGTGCCTGAGCATCGTGATAGCGACCACAATGTCCCTCCCCACCTTACTCAGCCGGTGACTCTGTCTTAGATCACTGCGCCGTGGCTTGACACTTTGTCTCTGTGCCGGAAGAGGCTTTGCTCTGTCACGGCTCTCATCCTGCCGAGGCCAGTGCATCAAAGGAGAGTCAGCACCCTGTAAATAGCTGTGTCCTCGGTGAGTGGCAGACGCCACATATCATGTGTGGTGGTTGCTGCGACGGAAGTGCCCACCTAGAGAAACGGTTGGCTCTTGGTTACAGCATTCCACGGTGGCTCCATCAGCCTGGCTCCACACCTTTTTGTGGAAGGAACTATTGAATGCCCGCCCAGGATTCCGAAGGGTGAGAGACACAGAGGCACTCAGGGTTCCTTATGCAACCCAGCGGGAAATCCTCCCTCTGTCTGCTATGTGTCACCCTAGTGCGAACTCTGGTAGTTGATCTCTTGGAATCCCTAGCTTCCTCATGAATAACAGGGGTGATCATAATAATAAATTCTATGTGTAAACCATTTCTAGTGTTGCCTCACACTCAGTGAGCCCTGGGTACGATTTGCCCTCTTGAACACTAAGAGTTCCTCACTTCTTGTAACTAGGAGGGGGATTTTTCCTCCTTTTTTCTTTTCCAAAAAAAACTTTTCCTTTTTTATTTATTTATGTGGCTGGGTATGGTGGTGCATACCTTTAATCCCAGCACTTGGGAGACAGCAGCAGGCAGATTCCTGTAAATTTGAGGCCAGCCTGATCTATATAGTGAGTTCCAAGACCACCAGGGCTACACAGAGAAACCCTGACTTGAAAAGAAAAGAAAATCAAACAAACACAGCAAGATTTATTTATGTGAGTAAGTATTTGGCCTACATGTATGTATGTGTACTATATGTGTGCATAATGCCCAAGAAAGTCAGAAGAGGCCATCAGATACCCTGGAATTGGTGCTACAGGCAGTGATGAGGTACCATATGAGTGCTGGAAACTGAACCCAGGTCCCCTGGAGGACTAGCAAGTGCTCATAGCAATGAGCCATCTCTCCAGCACACATTTATAGTCTTTTTAACTATGGATCTGTATGTGTGGGTATGCGAACATTTGCATAAATGTATGCCTATGGAAGCCAGTGGTGTTGAGTTTCCCTGGAGATGGAGTTACAGGCAGTTGTGTGCTGCCTGACGTGAGTTCTGGGATTTGAACTCAGGTCTACAAGAGCAGAGTGTGCTTTTAACTACTGAGCCATCTGTCCAAGCCCAATTTCCCTTACCTTGTAGACATTCACTCCTTGGACCCCAGTGGCGACATCTAGTGGAGAGGGCAGCAAGTCACACTTCAAGCATTTCAGATTTTACAGGTCTCAATTCCCATCCCAACTACTCAGCTCTCCTGTTGGAGTGTGGAAGTGGCCACAGATGGTATGGAAATGATCAGAGAAACTGTGTTCTAATAAAACTTTATTTACAAAAACAGAAAACAGGCCAGGTTTATCCAGCAAGCCACAGTTTGCTAACCCCTGGTTGTACAAACATAGTTTCCTTTCCTTTCTTTGCCAGATTCTTCTGCTGTGAGCTTGGCTATGGGTCTGAGAGTTTGCCTTCTCTAAGAGAAAATGACAAAATGCATACAGAAGTGGAAATTTGGGGGTTAAAACTGGGGGGAAATTCTTAGTGTATCTCTATTTGCCCATAACAGTGAGACAACACTCAGAAGAGATAGAACAGAAGCTAGGAGATGGGTGCACAGAAACCAGCTTCCTCCTGGAGGTTTGTCTGTCCTGATTCTGCCCTTTCTGTAGGTCCATCTTTGCTGCTAGCACCGTATTTTCCGTAGAACCCTAATTTCCTGAGCTGCCTTTATACCACCAACTCTGCCAAGATCCCTGCCGTGCAGGCGGCTTCACTTTCCATTCCCCGGACCTCCTCCATAGCACAGGTCTTCGTGAGGTGGCAGAAATCCAAGTTCAAGGGGCTGGAGAGATGGCTCAGTGGTTAAGAGCATTGCCTGCTCTTCCAAAGGTCCTGAGTTCAATTCTCCGCAACCACATGGTGGCTCACAACCATCTGTAATGAGGTCTGGTGCCCTCTTCTGGTCTGCAGA